CTAGCCATATTGTAATTGGATATAGATTTTCAAAATAAATCATGATCTTGTAAGCTAGAGTGTATTTGGAGATTTATGATTGGAGAAATTTTAAAGATTTGATCTTCAGATTTTGGTGGTATCAGATTGTGATATGATAAGTCCGAGCCTTGTGCATTCATGGGATCCGTCTCACGAGTGTACGGCGTCTGTCGCGCCTCAAATTTGGGTTTTGGGGCGTGACAGATTTTGTGGTATTAGAGCTTAGATTGAAATTAAGAGCTTGGTTTAAATTAAGAGTTTAGAATTAAATTAAACACCTTCAGATTGAGTGGCATCAGAGCAGATTGAGTGATATCTGAGCCTAGGTTTAATTGAATACCTAGGATTTGTTTTGGACTTGGCTGGCCAGTGGATTGTAGAATCGTGGTGAGACGAGTGATGGGGTTATATAAGGGACAATTCTAATTCATGTTGCTTGAATTTTCTCATCCATTTCGATGAGATGGTGATCTGATTGTTCTTATTTCTTGCCTTCATACTCTGTGTGAAGTTGTGAAAGTAATCTTGCCCGTTATGTCCTGAAGACCTTGTTTTGAAACTTGGTCATTTCTGATAGTCTGCACTTGTTTAGACTTGTTGCGTGAATAGAATTTTGTATGCTCTTTTGCCACAATTGTGAAATCTGGGGAGTTGCAGAGACTTTTGTTATTGATCCTGTTAGTCTCTACAGCATAGCTGGTGGAGAATTTGTTTTGTTTGTCACATGACCAGTGGAGGATGGGTAAACCCTTTACTTTGTAAGAGATTCAAGGCTATTTCAGCAAATATTGTGTTTTCTAGCTGCGTTTTAGGAGCTGGATAACTTGGTAATTTCGTTGCTCATGATCTTTCTGAAAGTCTTATAGTGAAGTTTCACTTTTTCCGTTTGGAGCTTCATGGTCTTTTCATGTGGCTTATTTTTTTATATTGGCTAATCAAGAGCAGTGATCATTCAATTGAAATTGCCTTGTTTTGTGAAGATTGGCAAGTTGTCATAAAGTTAAACTCTCTATTGTTGCCAATCTCTACATTCTTGATACCTGGAATTGCTTAAAACTCTTGAAATCCATCTTGAATCCTTCTTGAGATTGCTTTGTACTTGTTCTTGAAATTGAAATCCAGGAAATGGATAATGATTATTGGAATCCTCATTATCTTGATACTTGTCTGAAATTAATTCTTGCACTGTCCTTGGAATCTAGTTTGAATTGTCCTTGAAAACGTTCTTGTTCTGACACTGGTCTTGCTCAAATCTTGCATATTCTGCTAGTTCGTGTACCTGTCGATCTTCTTGATCTTTGATTTGTTCATATGGACACCTCTTAGGAGGGGTGACGATTATCAGAAAATACCTATATGAGGCATCCTCATTCTTGTCTCTTGCAAGTATTCGTCTCTGCATCCTTGATGTCTTAGCTTTGACTTGACTCTCGGATGTCTAGGATGACTTGATTGTAAACCTGCTTAGCCTCCATGAGCTACGAGGTAAAGGGGTAGTCCTTGAAATACTTGATGCCCTAGAGTTTTGTTCCAAGAGAAATGGTTCTTTGTCTGGCTGCCTTGATTTTTGTTTGCCCTTTTAATTAGAAGACAGTAATCTTCTCAGCATCTTGATCCCAACCATAGCTTGTTCTGTTAATTAATTCTAGTACTTGAGGTACTAGATCTTGGCATCTTGGTTATATCTGCTCTTGAATCAGTGTTCTGATTGTCATTATTGGAATCTCTTGTGGGCCTAATTTTTGAAATTCTATTGCTTGTTTCATGGTTAACTCTTGTCTCTCAATTTTGACTGCTTGGTTAAATTTGATCTTAATTCTTGGTGAATGCCGTTTTGTTGTTGAATTTGTGAGGCATTCTACCTTGCACTCTTGTGTTCCAGTATTCTTCCAAGCATTCATATTTTCCATTGATTTTATTCTGTTGCAGTTCTTGAGATTCTTACATGTCTTTTGATGGTCCTAGCTTTTAACTCTTGTTAATTGCTAAAATCTGCCTCTTGATTCCAGTTGCTTTGTTAAACATGATCTTACTTATTGGTTACCTTTATTGTGGCAAAATGTATAAGGCATCCATGCACTCGTTCATTCATTCATTTATGACCCATATATCCATTGGATGCTTATCCGTCTTTGATAGAATTCAAATTTTTTTGTAATTGTCGTTAAATCCATGCCATTCTTTGCCAACTCGTCTTGTGTTGGGTTCAAAGTGTAACCCCACAACTGTTTCTTTTGTGGCCTTGGCAGGATTTATTTCTATTCCTTGTGCTTTCCGTATTACTCCAGCCTCCAGTAGCTTATTTGATGGCAAATCTTGTTAAGTAGTTAGTGTTCTGCTTTTAAGATTAGTCGTGATTTGTTATCAGAGTGGCACAGCGGAAGCATAGTAAGCCATGTCTGTTCATAGAAAGTTAGTGGGGCATTTGCCTTGGATTGTGTGAAGCCATTCACCTCTTGATATGGTCCTCAATTTGAGTTTTGGGGACAAAACTCCTTTTTAGGAGGGGTGAGTGTAATATCCCAAATTTCGGGAATATTTAAGTGTAAGTTAAGGACTTGATTGTGAGAAAAGATTGTTTTGGGGCCTAATGTGAATATTTCAAAAGTTGAGGGACTTAAAGAGGGAAAGATTTTGGATAAGGATGACTTCTTTTCTTTTTCTTTTTCTTTCTTTCTTTTCTTCCCAGCCTTACCCGATTCTGCTCTTCTTCTCCTTTCTTCCCGCTGCAGCCACTCGAAAGTAAAAAAAAGAGGAACCCAGCCATGCCTTGAAAAATTGGTGAGAAAGCTTGGAATTTCTCCTTCTTTCTTGTCCAAGAACCTGATTTGGAACCCAGAAAATTTCCCCCCCTGCTGGAAAAGCCGGATCTGCCCTGCTCTGCCCTGCTCTGCTTTGTCCTTCCGTCAGCTACTCTTGATTGTGGGTGATTTCTGGGCTTTTTTTTGGGTAAGAACAGCCCCTAATTCCTTTGTTCTTGCTTGAAGTGGCTTGGGTTTACTTTAATTGCTCTTGTTCCTCCAATTTTGGGTAGATCCGTGAGTTTCTTCCCTGCACTTGCCGCCGGCTTCTCCCCCCTACCAAGTCCGGTTCTGCAACTGGAAAATTTATGGTAGGTTGGCTTCTCTAATTCTCGAAAATTGGTTGATTAGTGGCTGCTTTGTGATGTCTGATTTGGCTAGAAAATGGGGATGAAATTGATAGTAATTAGACCATGATTTAGCTTGATTCAAGTGGAATTTATATGATTGAGTGTTAATGGACCGCTATGTGATTTTTGGAGGAAAATCTGGTGAGATTAGTTAGTGTTTTGGCCAATTTGTGGGAGTGGAGTTACTGTTCGCGTTGGGATACTGTTCACCGACACTGTTCACACCTCGAGGGCCAACATTTAACGGGAATTTAAATGATTAGTTTGTGACATGAGAACGATTTTGGAGATATTTGATCATGTGGAGATTTATGGAAATAGCATTGTGATTAGGAATGATCCTAATGAAGTGTTCAGTGTGAATTTGTGATAGTCCGGTATTAATTCTGGAATATTTTGATTAGGTTCCTGATCGTTCTGTCAGTTTAGTACGTGACTTGAGTGCTCGGTTTTGCAAGTGAGGTAAGTAAATTTATGGTAATGCCCGTACTGTTTTAAAAGCATGTTTTGATTTGTTTTTGAAGTGGTGGCGGGACTAAACCCGTTTTACACAAGTATGACTGATTTGAAGTGAAATGTTTTGTGCTTTTCATGAAATTGAACATGCCTACTTGAAATTTGAGTGACTGTCCTGATGATCTGAAAGTGATTGTGAATCGTGATTTTCTTGTTAATTTCTGCCTGTTTTGTCTCCGATGTGGTCATGTTATTCGTGACCCTGCTAGTGGGGGAGGTTATAAACACTAGCACATGTCG